TTGTATTCTATAACCTTATAATTTTTATAAGATGCTTTAGTGAATTCACATGTTCACTGATACTCGTGAAGGACAGGAAGAAGTGAAAGCACAATGAACAGTATGTCTATACTGCCAGCCTCGTCCTTAGAGGACAGTAGATGTAACTGTCCTGAGCTCTCCTGAGTCTAGGAAAGCTGCCATGGATGAACAGGTGTCGGGGTCTGACGGCTCAATGACTCAGTTTTTAGAGGCTGTGCTGTTTACTGGTAGCTACAGCAATCACCTCCTCAACCTCACTGCCTGAAGCCTGACACAGCAGTTCTTTCTTACGCTGGTTCCTTCTACTGTGATGAATGTTTTCCTCTAAAGATGGACTGCCTCTTCTTAGCCACGAATGCCATCTGTGGCCCTTGGGATGCCTGTGGCCAGAGGAAGAGACAAAAGAGAAAGAGAGGCCTAAGACAGACCATCTTTAGGGGAAAGGAAGAAGAGAAACTACTGGAGTAGGAATAAAGTGGGAGAAAGGGCGACTGGGGAGGACAGCAGTTCTTTGTGTTTTGAGCAGAAGAAAGAACCATCAAAGACCTTCAGGGCTGATCAGCAGATTGCACCAGAGGTCACACACCTCTTCACTCAGCAACTCTCTAGCGTCTGCTTTAAAAATACTCATCCATTCATGCAGTACAGATAGGGACCAGACTAATAATGCTCAGGTCATGATCCTTTCTCCTCACTTACTCTTTCCCATTCTGGTATTCCCATTTTGCTCTGCACTTCCCTCCTGCTTATTCACCCTCCCAATGTTCTCATTCTACCCCTGAGCCTTTCACTGGTGCTACACGAAGCTTGTCCTCTATGATGAACAATCTCCTGCATATTTTTTACCTCCTGTAGAAACACTGCTCCTAATTTCTTGCTTTAGTTAGACCCTGGCTGTCCTTTGAGGTTATTGCTTTCTCAGCAGCCCTTTTGAGTGGACAAAGATCATTGTTGCATACTCCTTCCATCTGGGTCTGGTACTGTTTTCTTTAGTCCCCAGTGCAGGTTTCAGAGCATTACTTCTCAATCTGTAAAAATTTTCTTTGTTTTGAGCCTCATAAAGCCCGGTTATCCCCTAATTCTACCCTTTGCTATCACTTACAGAATACTATCCTTGTTTCACTGAAGAATTTTGGTGCCTAACATTCTTTAGAATCTTCAACTGTACACCTAGACTACTGTTTACGTGGACAACCCATCCAAGGTTCACTTTCACTGCTTCATCTTCTAGAACCTTTTCTCCTTTTTCTCACTTGGGTCACTTTTATAGTTACATACATAATACTTAATATTATTCTGCTCTCAGGGCTGGTGCTGTGGCACAGCGGGTTAATGCCCTGCCTGAAGCACTGGCATCCCATATGGGTGCTGGTTCTAGACCTGGCTGCTCCTTTTCCGATCCAGCTCTTTGCTCTGGCCTGGGAAAGCAGTAGAAGAAGGCCCAAGTCCTTGGGCCCCTACACCTGCCTGGGAGACCCAGAAGAAGCTCCTGGCTCCTGGCTTCAGATTGGCACAGCTCCGGCTATTGCAGCCATCTGGGGAGTGAAACAGTAGATGGAAGACCTCTGTCTCTACCTCTCTCTGTAACTCTTTAAAATAAATAAAATAAATCTTAAAAAATATTGTTTTTCTCTGTAAGTATTAAGATCTCCCTTTCTCAATTAAGGACACCTATCCTTATAGTTTCTTGCTCAGTAGCCCAGTCTATGGCTATTATCTGACTACACTGAGACTTCTATTTTCCCTCTAACATATCTCTGTCTTTTCAACAAATCTTCAGTCTTGTTTTTGTTTCAATCATTCTATACTTTAATCTTCAAGTTACAACTCTGTTTTTAACTTCACAGCTAAATTTATGAAGCAGTTGGGCATTTTCTCTTTCCATTTAACTTATTTCCTATTCACTCCTCAATTGCTCCCACTCTGCTTTTTTGCCTCTACATTTCATTGAAAGAGTTCCTTAGCCATCAATGACTTCTATTTGTTCTATTAGTTCATAGTGTAGTTGATCCATTTCCTTTTCTTTTCTTTCTTTCTTTTTTTTTTTTAAAAGACTTATTTATTAGAAAGGCAGAGTTACAGAGAGGTAGAGGCAAACAGGGAGAGGTCCTTCATTCACTGGTTCACTCCCCAAATGGCTGCAATGGCTGGAGCTGGACCAATCTGAAGCCAGGAGCCAGGAGCTTCTTCCGGGTCTCCCATGTGGGTGCAGGGGGCCAAGCACTTGGGCCATTTTCTACTCTTTACCCAGGCCATGGCAGAGAGTTGGATTGTAAGTGAGCAGCAGGACTTGAACTGGAGCCTACATGGATGCTGGCGTTGCAGGCAGCAGATTTACCTGCTATGCCACAGCGCCAGCCCCAGTTGATCCATTTTCAACATCAATGAGTACAACTGATAATCACCTCCCTACTGAAGCAGCTTTTCTGTGGCCTCTGTTGGTAACACTCTCCTGGATGCCTCTTGTCTCTCATTTCTCTGTTCAGGCTCCATTTCCAGCCGCTCTTCCTCTTTACTTTTTATAAAGTTATGAATTACTGGACTTCACCTGAAGCAATAATCTCTCCATGTCTTTCCTCAGGTATTCTCATTCACTCCCATGTTTTTTTTTTTCACTTATGCTTGTAACTTTCAATTTTATATCTCTGGTTTCACATATTAATACTTTTCTGAATGTCTTTCAGCACTTGAAATATAACGCCTTAAGTGGATTCTCTTCCAAACACCGTATATCAGATCTGCTTGATTTTCCCATACCAGAGTCATCTATGAAATCTCCTTCACTAAGGCCTCCAACGTTTTACCTTATGAATCGACTATACTCTACATATTGAATATGTCCACTCCATCTCCACTACCATCAAAGCAATCAAAGCCACCAATACAGCTGGGGCTGCTTGCTAAACTGGTCTCTACATTTTTTTCTACTCTATTTTTTTCTTTCTCATACTGTAGGAAGAGAGATCTTTTAAACAGCCACATCTAATTAAGATGCTGCCTTGCTTAAAAATTTAATGGCTCTTAGCTTATGTGAAAATAAAATCTTCAAATTTTCAGATGCAGCTTTAATATCAGGCCCCTCTTGGGTCTCCAGATTCATTCTATCCCATTTTCATTCTGGCTTTCTACACTGCAGCAACATACTTCCACTTGAGTCCTTCCTGACTGGGCTTTTCCAGGTACTGTGTTTCTCTTCCTTTTCTTTTCTGTCTAGGAACCTCTACTCTAGAACCTTCCTCCTCTCCTTAGGCTGCTACTCCACTCATCCTTAAATGACTGTTTAACAGTCATTCCCGTAGGGAAGCCAGGTCTGATTTTCTTTGGAATGTTTACTACAACTGTAACATATATTTGTTTGAGGTCTGTGCTTTATGTCCTAACTCACACCACTTCCCCACACCACCAAATTGGAAAGTTAAGGTAGTGCCCATTCTGCTTTATTCAGGAGTGCGTGCTGCATCTGAGGCCCAGCACACTGCCTGCCACACAGGATTTGTCCCAGAAGTACATGCGGAATGAATGACGGACTGACTCAATGAATGAATAAATAAATGAAAGTTCATTATTACTTTGAGATTTCATTTATACCAAAAGATTAGAGAACAATATAATATGACTGATAGTTTCAGATTTTACTAAAATCACTTGGGGAAAAAAATCCAGCAATCAAAAGTTCTTTAATTCAACTGTAGTTTTATTGAGGGGGGACACCATAACAAGTACCTAATCCTGGCCTTAAATTTCACCTTGTCATTGATTTACTCACAAAACATATTTCTTAGGAATGAATGAGAAGATAGTACACAGTACACAGGAGAAAGAATTAATGAAGATTCTACTTCTTCTTGACAATCAGTCTCCCATCACACTCTAAACTACCTGGTGAGGCCTTTATTTCCTACTACATTTATAAATTGATTTCAGCTTTGCCCGTGCTTTATTTTAAAACACTTAAAAAGTATATTTAAGGTAATAAGGAACAAAAATATCTAGTAAAGGCTTTTCGTTAAATAAATACCCATTGAAGGAGAAAGTCCAATTATGGATCCTGTTCGGATTTCAAATTATAGTCACTTTCTTAAAATGTGGAAAGAAGCAAGAAAAACACCTAGAAAAATAAATGCAAATTTTGGCTATGCCTTAAACATCAATCCCTGGTGTTTAAAGTATGCTACTTCTTTTTTCTTGAAGTCTCCATTAGCTTCAGTAACCAACATATTATTCCTTTCAATTTGGTTGGATATTTCCTTTTCCTCTGATTAAAGGGTTGAGTAAAAGGATATGGAAAAAAATTTCTTTAAATGAATTTCTTTCTTTTTTTTTTTTTTTTTTTACAAGCAGTGTGGACAGTGAGAGAGAGACAGAGAGAAAGGTCTTCCTTTTCCATTGGTTCACCCTCCAATGGCTGCCGCACCGCGCTGATCTGAAGGCAGGAGCCAGGTACTTCTCCTGGTCTCCCATGGGGTGCAGGGCCCAAGCACTTGGGCCATCCTCCACTGCACTCCCTGGCCACAGCAGAGAGCTGGCCTGGAAGAGGGGCAACCGGGACAGAATCCAGCGCCCCAACCGGGACTAGAACCCGGTGTGCCAGCGCCGCTAGGTGGAGGATTAGCCTAGTGAGCCGTGGCGCCAGCCTAAATGAATTTCTAATATAAGCAGATTTCTATCTATATGTAGTGAACAAAAATAATCTAGAAGATGATAGGGAACTGGAATTCTGCATTATTTTCTTGCCACAGTGGACATGAATATTGCTAGCCTTATTTATATAAGTGTTCCTGTGTCCTTCCACACTGCAAAAGTAGGCAGTACAGCTGTGCCTTTCAGGCATTTATGTTGTCTATGTCTACAGTAACAGTGATTTCTTCAGAGTCACTGTAGCCACCCTGTTCTGATTTTAGTCTTTTCCTTTCCAGATATTGGTTCCTATTATGTTGTCTTAACTGACTACGTTTCCACAAGTTCTTCACTTACTTTACCTTCACAGGGATGTCCTCTTCTTGACTTGCTTTCTCTGAGGTGAAGACATATGAGATCTCCTTGTGCGATGTGGTCTGGCGGCAGATGGCGCATCTAATGGCGCTTCTGTGGGACCCCACGCTGTATTGTTCGATAATAATAGAAATGCACTCATTACAGAAACAGTGTCCACAGGTCAGTACTGCCCACTGGAAAAGAGACACACAGAACAAGTTTCAGGGAGATGCTATCAAAAGGTCTTCCAATCAGTAAATTTATTAAAAGCAGTAGAATGGACTCAGAATTTTATCTACTATTTTTTGGCATTAATATTTTTTTCTATCATTAAAGCCAACTGGCCTTCAAACTAATTATTTTTAGTCCAGAAGTAAGCTTTCAGTCTTTATTAGGCTCACCCTAGTGAGTTATCAGTATTATTTTGTAAGAAATTGGGGTTATCCTTTCAGATTCAGGAAAAATGCAAATTACTCCTTTACCACTATAGCAGATGCAATAGAAGAACTGAGAGTAACATTGATAAGGAGATAATACTTACTCAAACTATTCTACCTAGTTTGTTAAATATTTATATTTTTACATATAAAAATATTTGATATATAGAAAATGAGATAGACTAGTATCTCAGGTGCATTTTACAAGTGGTTCTGGATATTGGAATGCATTAAAAAAAGTAACTCAAAACAGATATTCACTGACGATGCCCGAGAACAGACAAATGGCAATGCCTCCAGGGCATCTGTCAGCACGCAGGACTTATTTCTGATAGATTCTACTTTAATAGATCTAAATAGGAGGAGAGAGGAATCAGAAACCAAAAGGAAACAAAACAATTCCCACAGATTGTGGTTGTGGGTATGAACAGAGTCTGAGTAGTATAGTTTTGGGGCCAGTATTAAGGCAAAGTGGGTTAAGAAGTTTCCTGCAGTGCTGGCATCCCCCCTGGGAAAATTGATTCCAGTTCCAGCTGCTTCAATTCCAATCCAGCTTCCTGCTAATGTGCCTGGGAAGGCATCAGAACATGGCACAAGTACTTGGGCCCTTGCTACCCACATGGGAGACCTGGATGGAATGTCTGGCTCCTAGCTTTGGCCTGGCTCAGCCCCAGTGGTTGTGGCCATTTAGGGAAAGAACTAGCATATGAAAGATCAATTTTTCTCTCTTGTCTGTCTCTGTAACTGTCTTTCAAATAAATAAATAAATCTGTTAAAAAAAGAGCAGTTTTTTAACGATTATTGTAAACCAATAAGTTTTTTTTTTTTTTTTTTGACAGGCAGAGTTAGACAGTGAGAGAGAGAGACAGAGAGAAAGGTCTTCATTCCATTGGTTCACCCCCTAAATGGCTGCTACAGCCGGTGTGCTGTGCCGATCCAAAGCCAGGAGCCAGGTGCTTCCTCCTGGTCTCCCATGTGGGTACAGGGCCCAAGCACTTGGGCCATCCTCCACTGCCTTCCCGGGCCAAAGCAGAGAGCTGGACTGGAAGAGGAGCAACCAGGACAGAATCTGGCACCCAACTGGGACTAGAACCCAGGGTGCCGGCTCTGCAAGTGGAGGATTAGCCTAGTGAACCGTGGCACTGGCTGGTAAACCAATATGTTCTAAGGAGACCAGGTGATACTAAAATTAAGTAAGATAATATATGTGAAAGAACTTTGAAAACTATACAGGTTTAGGACACAAATGACATAATTTCTAGGACAATTCAGTTGCATAAATTTTGTCCAAAAAAAGCAAAAAAAGATACCACCCTAAGTCATATTTCTATTTTTATTACAGCTTTTATCACAGCATTTTTATCACTGAGGTCACAAGTCACTAGTATCTGTAACGCACTTTCTTCTGCTCAGTTTCCAATGTAACATCCATATGTAATAACTCATAACTAAGAGTTACAGCCACACACAGTATCCTTTGACATTTCCCCTTCCCCTTGTATGTTAAAAATTAAGATTCCTAAAGCTATACTATGAAATTTATATTTATTAAACAAAAGCTTTCTAAAAAATTAAGATACTTTATTTCTGATTACTGCTGCCTAGAGTATAGCACACATACATTTAACCTTCTAGTTTTACGTCCATAGAAAAATATGGCCAAGAATACTGCACTCATTTAACAGTGATAGCCTTAGCTTTAAATTTTGAAATGCAATGAATATTCTGACATTGCATATACTGATTTATCATACAAAGCAGAAATATGTCCCAGCTGGTAGGATAAAAATATGAATCTCTTAAGAGAAGAACCAATATGATACTATCATGTTTTTAGACATCTGTATACTAATAATCAAAAAGAAATACACTTAAAGCCCTAAACATGTCACCTAACCTCTGGCCTTATCTTTAAGATGGAGGTAATACTTGCCTACACACAAGGTTGTCATGAGAAAAACAGAGAAACAGAGTCAAAGAAAAAGACTGTGTATGGAAGTCTGAAAACTGTAAGGTGTTTTATACATATTTATCATAATCTCACCTGTTTCCCTAGCTGTCGTGCACAGATTGGACAGGGTTCTGGATTAATGCCTCCCGATGTTTTGTCTTGAGACTAGTCAAAAAATAAGAATCCAAAAATAAATTAGATACATTTTACATTTTTAAAAATATATTTGAGGTATAATTACAGACAGAGAGAGGGAGAGACAGAGAGAAAGGCCTTCCATCCACTGGTTCACCCCTCAAATGGCTACAACAGCTGGAGCTTGACTAACCCAAAGCCAGGAGCCAGGAGTTTATTCCAGGTCACCCAGAGTTATGTTGTCTGTAATGTTTTTATTCAAGACTTTGAACTAGTCTGTTATAATTGTTCTTTGCTGTGTAGTAAATACCTTTTATGCTAGCTGTATAATTTATTAAGTTCTATAGATATAATTTTTGTGCCTATGTAGCAATTGTAGACATAGCTAGTGTTCTGACCCATAAAAAAAGCAGATGAAAGATTAATTTAGGGGCAGGTAGTCGGCATGATAGCGAAGACAGTGTTTGATATACCACATCCTGAACTGGAATGCTTGCATTTGAGTCCTGGTTCTGCTTCTGATTTCAGCTTCCTGTTAATGTGTACTGGGAGGCAGCAGGTAATGGCTAAAACATCTGGGTACTGGCTACCTATGGGGGAGATCCCAGAGTGAGTTCTGGGCTCCTAGCTTCAACTTGGCCCTGGAACTAGTCGTTTTGGGTATTTGAGGAGTAAACCAGCAGATGGAAGATCTCTGCCTTTTTCGGCCTTTCAAATAAATAAAAATTATAAAAAAAGGATTAATTAAAAAAACGTGAATTATGACACTAATAGATTAAGTGGAAAGAGTCCTTAAGTGATTATAATAATACAGCATGGGAAAATACAGTATTTTTGTAAGCAGTACCTTCTCTAAGTTGGTTAGATAAAGAAGCTGCCCAAGTTTTTTCTGAAGCTGTGATGTAGCAACGGCTTTATCATTTAGTAGTTTAATACGATTTTGTTCTACCTAAAAACAACAACAACAAAAAAACTTCTTATTATTTCTCAGAAAAAAGATGGCTAAACTATATAAAATATATAAATGTGTCCTGTTTTAAGAAAACCCATTCTATTATTAAAATACAAATTTCAAAGTGGTTACTAGATTTTGAGGACTTTTTGTTTTTGTTTTTGCTTTTTAGAACACCAAATTCAAGATATAGTTATCTTAATTAGGAAGTGTACCTGAGGTCAGAAAAGAAGCAACCCAAATTCTATTTAGTTATCAGTTTTCAGGAAGAGATCCATAGCATGATGAAAAATTAAATGATTTTCTGCTTGGGCAAGAGTGATTTTATGAAATTCAGGGAGGAACCTTTCTCTTCTTCTTGCCACCCCCGCCCATACAATATAGCAAACACAGAAGGAGAATCGAAATAAGATTGGTTTCACAGAAAAGTTTACTGAGAATAAATATTTAAGTTAGAGAGTAAACAATGAATATTTCTAAGTATTTGTAAGTTACTATTTCAAAGTGTCATAGCAAGAAATAAATTTAAAACATTAAAAACATGGAAGATAAAGATAAATTACAAAGAAAACAGTAATTTCATATTGAATAGAAAAGATTAACAATGTTTTAATCCTGGTATTCAAAGAGATTTATTAGAAGATACACTGTTGATTTCTATCATTTGCAAAAGAAAACATTGCCAAAGAAGTTCTCAGTTGTTCCTAAGGAAGATTTTTCTAGATCTGATAAAGCTGAGATAATAGAAAATATGTCTAAAAAGTGATCAAGGAGCCCCACAGGTTTTTGCACATAGAAAGTGTTCAAATAAAGATAAACATGAAATTTAGATAAATGCATAAAAATACACCAAAATAGTAGATTCTAAACATGTAGTAGATATGAAACTGCTCATCTTTGATAAATTCTGACTTAAAATAACACTTTTCCATGGCTCAAACTTTGTTTAGAGATTTAAATATATCCTTAAAGAAGTTTAATCACTACCCAAACTCCATCTCTCCAATGGTCTTGCATTTTTGTGATATCAATTTCGCAATACCCTTTTCTATGATTTACTTGCACATTACCTCTTGTGGTTCAATGATATGATGAACAGGAGGATTGGGCTTTGGCTCCTTAGGATGACGCACTCGGAGTCTTTCTGTAGCCATGGCAAGTTCATCAACAGCAGATACACGATTTCTAAGAGCCATCCAATATTCATGAAGCAACTGAAGGGAGGAAAAAGATACAGAGTGTAATAAAGCACATAATTAAAATTGGTTAAAAACAAGCAAGATGTGCTTTGAGCAAAAGTCTTCAGTGAGGTCTTAAGACATAGACATTTTTTCATTGAGTGACTAAGATACAAACAATTACTTATGACAGTTTTATGAGGAAGCATGAGACAGAATCATTCTCCATAGAGCACTGCCTACCTCTTAAGAGTCTTAGAAACAGAATACTCAAAAGATTTCCTGGTAGAACCAAAGGTCTTTATACATAAATATTGGGGTGATAGAATATATGCTTTATTAAATTTTTTTATTAAAACATATTTTAGAAATTCAAAAAACTTATGTGCATATGTAATAGGAATACTAAAACACAAAAGTTGGTACTCTTCTCCCTCATCCAAGTTTAAGAAACAGAGTAATACAAATTTCCTGGGAAGCCTCTGGGTTCTTTCTCATTTCCCTCACACATTCCTCCTTCAACATACCACAGTGAGATAACGACCATTCTGAACTGTACTTATTGTTACAGACTTTTCTTTGACAGGTACTACATGTATGTATTCTTAGTAGTTTGGTTAGGTTTCTGAAAATTATCAAAATGATATTCATCAGTATAAATTTTGGACATGTTTTCTTCATTAACACTGAATTTTGAGGCTGAATCTGGTTGATATGTATAGCAGTAGCTCACTCATTTGCTTTTCTATAAAATGGTTTAGTCTGCAAAGTTATAGAGAAGAAACTCTCAAAGATCTAGGAGAACGGTATGATAAGCATACCTACAGACACAACACACAGCCAAACTGAGCCCAAAGGAAGATCACAGAGGCAACTGGTTTCTGTATTCAATGCCTTCTTCGATGGCTTGCTGTAATGAATTGTTATCATCCTTTATATTTACAATAATAATGTAGGAGGAAAATATTAATAATCAATAATTTTTACTTTTTAGATTAATCCATAATTTTTACCTTATAAAAGTGTTATTCCACAAATTAACAAATACATGAACTGATACTGCAGAAGATGCATGATGTTCTGCATAAAATTTTTTATCCTGCTTTAAAAAGCAAGAACTTCAGATTAAGAACAGGTATTACTTGGCATTATGGCATTATATGTAAATGGAACGCTCTTCTTCCGCTACCCATCTCACCCATTAAGTGGGATAAGAAAAAACAAATTCAAATGTATATGTAGAATAATTTTATGGGTTCCCATTGTGGTATAGCAGGTAAAGCTGCTGCCTGTAATGCTGGCATTCCATATGGGTGCTGGTTTGTGTTTCGGCTGCTCCACTTCCGATCCAGCTCCCTACTAACGGCCAGGGAAAAGTAGCATAAGATGGCTCAAGTGTTTGGGTCCCTGCTACCCATGTGGGAGACCTAGAAGAAGTTCTTGGCTCCTGGCTTCAGCCTGGCAAATCCCTAGCCATTGCAGCCATTTGGGAAATGAACCAGCAAATGGAAGATCTTTGTCGGTCTCTCCCTCTCTTGCTGCAATGCTGATTTTCAAACAAATAAATAAAACTTTAAAAAAAAATTTTTAAATTAATGAATTCCAGAATATCAAGTACAGTGTTATAATCCCACAGAATAATTAAAATATAGCATGAAAGGATATTCTGAGCATTATTTTTTGGAATGCTTTCAAGTCTTAGTCAGTAGGCTGAGAAGTATTTCCTATATCCCCAATTTTTAAGTTTACTGACATTTGATTGCTATTCACAAAGCAAAAGCAAAACAAAACCCAATAAATTTCATAGAATAGTATAGTGAAATAAAGCTAAGAATAGAATGAACATTTTCAAAGCCCAAGAAAAGGTTTAATTATTCTTTATTATAATAGTAACATTTTAGGGGAGGAGAAATTATGAATCTCCAGTCTTTAAAGCAGATTTAAAGAAAAAAAGGGTGGGGCCGGCACTGTGGCACAGTGGGTAAAGCCATCACCTGCAGTGCCAGCATCCCATATGAGCACTGGTTTGAGTATCAGCTACTCCACTTCTGATCCAGCTCCCTGCTAATGTGCCTGGGAAAGCAGTGGAAGATGGTCCAAGTCCTTGGGCCACTGCACCCATGTGGGAGACCTAGAAGCTGCAGGTTCCTGGCTTTGTATCGGTGCAGCACCATATGTTGCAGCCAGTAAAAATAATAGACTTAAAAAGGAAGGAAGAACCAACATGGCAATCAGTCCACACAGCAGACTCCTAGAATGACTTTCCCAGTAAATAACATCCTGACCTCAGAATCAACCCATAAGGCTTCCTGTTCGGGCTGAAAGGCCTACAAGAGCATCTCAGGCATGGAAAGACAAGACTCTGTGACAAAAAAATAACCTACACGGCGGATCTCTGTGAGACCTCAGAGGAAAGAAAGAGTCATCAAAGAAGGAGACACTCTTCTCTGAAGGGAGAGGAGAACATCCTCTTTGTTTATGGCATGTTCAAATACCAAAGGAGTCTATGGTCACAAAAGGCTTCCATAGCCTTGGCAGCCCATGACAAAAGCCTCAGATGATCACTGACATCATAAAAAAAAGTGTTAATTGTTAAAGGAACAACAGTAGTCACTGTGCATTTGCTCCCCAGGTAGGACCTCTGTCCCTACTGAATTATAATAGAAGAATCAACTGTAAATTCTCTCCTCAAACTGTACTCTATATGTTGTGTGTGGGCATGGGGGCAAATTGTTGAAATCTATGATTAGCATAGATGTATATAAAGTCATACTAAAAATGATCCATAATGAAGAAGGAGATGGGAGAGGGAATGGCAGGTGGGATGGGAGCAGGGTGGGGGGTATGGGGAAAAGAACCATTATATTCCTAAAGTTGTATCTATGTAAAAATGCATTCACTGGTGCCGGCACTGTGGCTCACATGGCTAATCCTCCACCTGCAGCGCCAGCATCCCATATGGGCACTGGGTTCCAGTCCCGGTTGCTCCTCTTCCAGTCTAGTTTTCTGCTGTGACCAGGGAGGGCAGTGCAGGATGGCCCATGCATTTGGGCCCCTGCACCCAAATGGGAGACCAGGAGGAAGCACCTGGCTCCTGGCTTCGGATTGGCACAGCGCCATTGGGGAGTGAACCAATGGAAGGAAGACCTTTCTCTCTGTCTCTCTCTCTCACTGTCCGTAACTCTACCTGTCTAGTAAATTAAAAAAAAATTTTTAAAAATGCATTAAATAAAAAATAAACAAAAATAAATAGGAAATAAAATTAAAATAAAATGAAATAAAATAAAATAGAATAAATGTAAAGGAACAGAGTAGTTGGCACTTGATGCAGCAGTTAAGTTGCTGATTGGGATGCCCACAAAGCATATCACAGTATCTGGGTTCAAGTCTTGGCTCTGCTTTGCAATTCAGATTCCTGATAATGTGCACCTTAGAAGGCATCCGGTAATGACTCGAAGAGTTGGTTCATTGTCACCAACAAGACAGTTCCTGGCTCCTGGCTTTAGCCTGGCCCAGCACTGGCTGCTGCAGTCATTTGGGAAGTGAACCAGTGGACAGAAGATCTATTTCTGCTTGTATCTCACTCTTTCTTTCATATAAATAGAATGAATAAATATTTTCATAATGGAAAAACAAAAGAAAAAGAATTTCAGTATTAGAAATAAAACATGATACCTTATACTCCTTCTTCCATGCTTCAAACAGTTCCATTGAAGCACTCCCTTCATCAATGAATTCAATATCAAATCTATGGGATTTTGCAAATGATAGTATTGCTTTCATAGATCGTTCTGTTTCACTTATTGCCCACAGACCCCGGGTGGTGGTAGGGACTCGATCATCTACCAGTCCTTCTTCATCTTCTATCATCTCCTCAAATATTGCAGTCTGGCCTTTGACTCTGAGAAAATCAACAAATATCAAAATAACAACAGTTAACTACTGGCACTAGGTAAGAAACACTGTAATAAGTGACACTGACAGAAGATAGGGAAGTAAGTTCAATAACTTTTGAACAACTTTCAGTGGCATGTCTATAAGACCATCTTTGCAAATCTTTGGAAAAACCACAGCAACTCTAAAGATCATATCAGCATCATAAATTTATCCAGTGATTCTTGAGAGCAATCTGGCATAATGAAAAACATTTATAAATACCAGGCTGGAGCCAACGCTGTGGCATAGTGGGTAAAGCCACTGCCTGCAGTGCCGGCATCCCATATGGGCACTGGTTCAAGTCCCAGCTGCTCCACTTCCGATCCAGCTCTTTACTATGGCCTGGGAAAGCAGTAGAAGATGGCTCAAGTCCTTGGGCCCCTGCACCTGCGTGGGAGACCTGTAAGACACTCCTGGCTCTTGGCTTCAGATTGGCACAGCTCCGGCCATTGTGGCCAATTGGGGAGCGAACCAGTGGATGGAAGATCTGTCTCTCTCTGTTTCTCCTTCTCTCTCTGTGTAACTCTTTCAAATAAATACATAAATCTTTAAAAAAAAATACCAGGCTATAATTCTCACTCTGAAAATAAAAACATAAAACACCACCACCAAGAGCCATACAAAACAAACAAAACAAAAAAACCCACTATGGTAATCTGAAAGTACTCTTAATCCCTTCTTTCTGAGGCCATCAGCATGTAGCACTTTCTATTTCCATGTATGTAAAATAGGGATAATTTTGCCAATGCCATGAATATATGTATTGCTTTATATACCTTAATCTTCAAAGCAACAATGAACAGTTTGTATTGGAAGAAGAGTATTAATGACAGCTAACATTTTATAATATACTTACTGTATTTCAAGCATTATGCTAAACAATTCATGTTATTTTCTTATTTAATAGTCATAAAAACTCAGTGAATTAGGAGTTGTTATTACCTTGATTTATTCAAACAGGACACAAAGAATTATAAAATAATTTTTTTATGATAGTAGGGAGGGATTTTAGTACAAATCAGATTTCATAGTCTGGGATGTTACCATCCTGTAAATTGCCCCCCAATTAAGTACACATTACTACATGACAAGAACATTTAGAAGGTAATTTCCACGTAGGTAAAATTGAGCATATCTGGGCCAGCGCTGTGGCGTAGCGGGTAAAGCTGCTGCCTGCAGTGCCAGCATCCCATGTGGGTGCCAGTTCGAGTCCCGGCTGCTCCACTTCCAATCCATCTCTCTGCTGTGGCCTGGGAAAGCAGTAGAAGATGGCCCAAGTCTTTGGGCCCCTGCACCCAAGTGGGAGACCTGGAAGAAGCTCCTGGCTCCTGGCTTCAGATTGGCACAGCTCCGACCGTTGCCGCCAACTGGGGAGTGAACCAGCAGATGGAAGCCTCTCTCTCTCTCTCTCTCTCTCTCTGCCTCTCCTTCTCTCTCTGTGTAACTATGATTTTCAAATAAATATTTTAAAAAAATTGAGCATATCAAATACCAGATACCAAAACTTTACTAAACTTTTTTATTAAATGAAAAGATATAAGAAAGGCCACAGTAAGGAAAATAAAGCCTTACAGACTAAAAAGTAAATCTCGTAAAATGTTCATTTTCCTGATGGATAATAATCAGAGAACTTACGTATTAGAAAACAGCTTTGATTCATACTCTGTAAACAATTCATCAGCTTTGCAAAAGACACAGCTGAAAAAGAAAACATTATCAGAGAAATACAAACATAACAGTCACACAGCTTCTACAAGAGGCTTCTTTTGAAAAAGTATTTTGTGCTTTTTCTTTACAAGAGTTACGTTATTTTAGATAAAAATACTACATGGTTTTTAGTACCTGGTCTTTAAGAGAGTTTCTTTATTAAAGATATATTAATAATATCTATGTTTCTATGTCTTGAGTTAAAATGAAGTAAACTTTATTGTAAGAATGATTTTTGGGGCCGGCACTGTGGCGTGGTGGGTAAAGCTGCCACCTGCAGTGCTGGCATCCCATATGGGCACAGGTTCAAGTCCCAGCTGCTCCACGTGATCCAGCTCTCTGCTATGCCTGGAAAAGCAGAAGACGGCCCAAGTCCTTGGGCCCCTGCACCTGCGTGGGAGACCTAGAGGAGGCTCCCAGCTCTTGACTTCAGATCGGCACAGCTCTGGCCGTTGTGGCCAACTGGGGAGTGAACCAGAAGATGGAAGACCTCTCTCTCTTTGCCTCTCCTCTCTCTGTGTAACTCTGATTTTCAAATAAATAAAGAAATCTTTAAAAAGATCCATTCTTTCTTCTCTCAGAAGAAATCTACCTTAATGGAATGCTACCATTTCATTAATGACTGATTTCACAGATGACCTACCAGTTGAGGGGAAGTCTGGCGGGTCGGAGGTGGCAAATTGTTGCAGACTCAATAACATCGCGAGACGGAGGTCCTTCTAGGTGTTTTACAGCTTCTCTTACTAGCTTCTGGAATTTATTTAGCTCTTCCATTTGTGTGGTAAGTAAGAACTGAAGTCCTCTACAGTCTCGGAACCTGATTTCCATCACCATTACCGCACACAACACAAGGAAAAGATTAATTTCAACAAATTCAGAAAATAGTTTCTATGCAAAGTATTTAAATCAAAACAAAACAAAACTGTGTGCTAAATTTACCCCACCACACTGGAGTGAGTTTTCCTTAGGAGTCTATTCAACCAGCGTCTACTAGTAGTCAACCAGTATCTACTAGGATATCTACTACAAAAGACATGAAGAAGGTTTCAGGGTCCTATATGCAGGAAAGCAGAAGGAATATGTACAATCTATTTCTGTCTCAGCTATCTTTGAAAGGTTAAGATCACCACATTCTTCCATTTTAAGGTGGTCTGACTAAAGATGACCCTACTGATACGACTGCTTATATGGAGAAAAGATAGAAAACTGCGAATAAAGAAGAACAATGGCCAAGAGTTATATTTCTTTTTACAAAGAAAAAACAGAATCAATTATATCTTCATTAAGCATTTATTACATGTCAGATGTTTTGCTAAGAACTTCTCCAGCATAATTTTAATAAATACTACTATAATCACAATATGGATAAAGGGTAACAGATTAAGGCATCTAAATTACAAAGTTAGTATATGGCCAAAGAGAAGTAAATCATTTTGATATACTGTAAAAAAAAAAAAAAGGCTGAGATAAAGACATATGGATATGTTTGTATGGCTTTATCAAAGGAAAAAGCCTAGAATAATAAGAATTCAGCGATTAAAAGGAGAATTTATTATAGGAATACATTTCTCCTTCATGAAACACTATATGCTTTCCTCTCCAAATTGTTCAAAAGAGGCTCATTTCCTTCCTGAAAACTTTCCCAATACTTTCCAATACTAATTGATAATTCTTTCTGACCATGGAGTTTAGTGAAAATACTAATTTTACTACTTGGTTATTTTCGGCTCAGCTTTTATATAAATTGTTTCTCAAATTGTTCATAGGTCTCTTCTTCTCATTGAACTTTTGTTTTTAAAGATTTATTTGTGTATTTATTTGAAAAGGAGAGTTACAGAAAAGGAGACACATGCCTAAATGTGCACACACAAACACACATACGCACATGGAGAAGTCTTCCATTCATTATTTCACTCCTCAGATCGCTACAATAGCTGGGGCTGCGCCAGACCAAAGCCAGGAGCCTGGAACTCCATCCAGGTCTCCCACTGGATGGCAGGGGCCCAAGTATTTCTTCTTCTGCTTTCAAAAGTTCATTAGCAGGGAGCTGAACAGGAAGTAAAGCAGCTGGATAGCATGCGTACAGGCAACTACAAGGCATGTTGGCATTGTAAGTTAAACCCACTGCACCACTATGCAAGTCTCTTGAAATAACTTTTAAACAATAAGGACTGTTATCATATCCTTCTTGTTTAAAAAAAAAATTAACAGGAGCCAGCACTATGTCCTCTACCTGTGGCACTGGCATCCCATATGGTGCCAGTTCATAACCCAGCTGGTCTCTTCTGATCCAGCTCTCTGCTACAAGAAAATGGTAGAAGATGGTCCAAGTGCTTGGGTCCCTGCATCCACCAGGAGACCTGGAAGAAGCTCCGGCTCCTGGCTTTGGATCAGCCTAGCTCTGGCCCTTGTGGCCATTTGGGAAGTAAACCAGCAGATGGAAGACCTTTCTCTTGGTCTCTCCCTCTCAGTGCCTGTAACTCTCTCTCTCAAATAAATAAATCTTTTAAAAAAAATTAACAGGCACAGAATAGCTGCTCAAATTTTCAAAACATTTGCATAGATACTTGAATAAAATTGGATTAGGTATCAATATTATTCACAAACAGAAAACAAAGTTTCATTTTCTAATTTATTAGAAATTTAAGTTGTTCTTCAAAAATTAATTTTTAAAGCAAAGACAAGTAGGTTTGAAAATTTCTCTCCACTTTGTCTTATCTGGGCCAAGTCAAAAGACTGAAAATACCACAGATCACCATTTAAGCAGTCTTAGCAATGTTCAATCTTCCAGGCCCCCTCAAATGAAATAGAGAAAATAAAATGGCTGGCAACTCTTATCCACCACATTACATGTTGGGCATTATCTATGTAAGTGCTTTAAAATATAGTTTATTTAATTATTATGATAATGCTGTGTGGTTTTATTGATGAAGAAGCTAAGGTTTAGAGAACTCACACAACTGTTCCAAGGATACAGATCTGTAATGTGGTGGAATAGGATATAAACCCAGCAATCTCACTAGAGAACTCACCTCTGCTCTTAATCACTAACCTACACAGCCTTTTCCAATAATCATTAACAGTTAGACATAATTTGGCTTTTGAGATATCAATCTGGCATAAAAACACATAAAAAAGTTTTAAAATGATTTCTGAAGGCAGATTTAATCTTTTTAAAATTAATTAAGAATATTCCAAGATGGATGAATAGGGAAAAGACATAATGCTTTAGATGAGGGGAAAATGGTGGGAAAAAAAGTAGAGGAATTAAATTAAGGGGAAAGCTGAAGAGAAATCTAAATTCTACAGAGGAAGAGGGGTGCCATGGATAAGCGTGGAAGGTGTGGACGCACAGCAACAAGCGCAGACACAACACATGATCCCTGCAGCTGAGGGCTGAAGGATACGCCAGCTTTGGAGAGCAGGGTGACAGAAGCCTGCAGCAGCCGATGCCACAGGTGAAATTGCTAGAGGGAAAGCCTTGCAGATTAAACTGTCTTTGAGTTTGGCCTGGAGCACTAGCAGGGGGCAGGGTATCGACCTAACCCAATGAAAAACAGCATGTTTCTCCCCATACCCCAGCAAGGGGGGTGTTCAGCAACCAGCGGGAAGAAGGCAACATTTTGACATGACTAGAGACTGCAGTGGCTCTTGTGCAGGCATGTGATCAGTGGATTCTATCACAGGGGAAAATCTGCTTTCCCCACTGACTTTGTCTGAGAGGGCTGACAGGGGGCTACGCACCCATGTAGGACTGTGTCATGTTCCCAGATTCTCAACTAACCAAAAAAAAAAAAAAAAAAAAAAAACAAAAATAGGGAGAAGACAGAAATTAACAGAATCAGAGATGAAAAAAAATGTAACAACAGAAATCACAGAAATAAAAAGAATCATCAGCAATTACTACAGTTAAAGGCCAACAAATCAGAAAAACTAGAAGAAATGGATAGATTCCTGGACACATACAATCTACTAAAATTGAGTCATGAAGACAAACAGACCAATACCAAGACAGACACTGTATCAGTAATGAGGACCCTCCAAACAAAGAAAAGCCCAAGATCGGATGTCTGCACTGCTGAATCTATGAAACTTTTAAACAAGAAATAATTCCAATTCTTCTCAAGCTATTTTAACACAATTGAAATGAAAGGGACCCTCCCAAACTCTTTCAATGAGGCCAGCATCACACTAATTCTAAAATCAAGAAAAGCTACAAAAGAGAAAGAGAACTATAGACCAATTTCCCTGAAGAACACAGATGCAAAATTTTTCAACAAAATACTAGCTAATCGAATTCATATTTAATTTTTTTTTTGACAGGCAGCATGGACAGTGAGAGAAAGAGACAGAGAGAAAGGTCTTCCTTTTTCTGTTGGTTCACCCACCAATGGCCGCTGCAGCCGGCGCACCACGCTGATCTGAAGCCAGGAGCCAGGTGCTTCTCCTGGTCTCCTATGCGGGTGCAGGGCCCAAGCACTTGGGCCACCCTCCACTGCACTCCCGGGCCACTGCAGAGAGCCGGACTGGAAGAGGAACAACCGGGACAGAATCTGGCGGCCCGACCGGGACTAGAACCTGGTGTGCCGGCGCTGCAGGCAGAGGATTAGCCTATTGAGCCATGGCGCCGGCCAGCTAATCGAATTCAACAACACTCAGAAAGATCAAGCACCAGACCAAGTAGGATTTATCCCTGGTATGCAGGGATGCTTCAAAATATGCAAAACAATAAATGCAATACATCACATTAACAAATTGAAGAATAAAAACCATATGATTATTTCAATAGATGCACAAAAAGCATTTGATAAAATTCAACATCCTTAAGCCTTAAGCAAGTAGGTATAGAAGGAACATCGTCAACACAATCAAGGCAATTATGAAAAACCCACAGCCAGCATCTTATTGAATGGGGAAAAGTTGAAGTATTCCCAGTAAGATCCAGAACCAGACAAGGATGCCCACTATTACCGCTGTTATCCAAGACAGTTCTAGAAGTTTAGCCAGAGTCATTAGGCAAGAAAAAGAAATCAAAGGGATAGAAATTAGAAAGGAGGAAGTCAAATTATCATCTGCAGATGTTATGATTCTATATTTATGGGAACCAAAAGATTCCACTATGAGACTTTTAGAACTCACAAGAGTTTGCTAAAATTGCAGGATATAAAATAAACACACAAAAATCAATAGCTTTTGTATACACAGTCAATACTATGATTGAGAAAGAACTTCTAAGATCAATCCCATTTAGAACAGCTAAAAAAAATTTAAATACCTTGGAATAAATTTAACCAAAGAGGGGATAGATCTCTACAATGAAAATTATAAAAGACTAAAGAAAGAAATAGAAGATACAAAGAAAAAAAAAAAGGAAGTATCTTCCAAGTTCATGGATTGGAAGAATTAATATCATCAAAATATACATTCTACTGAAAGCAACTTACAAATTCAAAATACTCAACTTCAAGATATATTATATTACAGTTTCAATCCAAATAGCCTGGTACTAACACAAAAATAGACATGGAGACCAATGGAACAGAATAGAAACTCCAGAAATTAATCCATGCATCTACAACTAACTAATCTTTGACAAAAGAACTAAAATCAGTTCCTGAAGTAAAGACAAATGGTGTTAGGAAAATTGGATCTCCTTGTGCAGAAATAGGAAAAAGACCCCTACCATATACCATATAATAAAAAAATCAACTCAAAATGAATCAAGGATCTGAATCTATGACCTGATACCATCAAATTACTAGAGAAGAACAATGGAAAAACTCTGCAAGGCATTGCCATAGGCGAATACTTCTTGAAGGGAACCCAGAAGTAAAGGCAATCAAAGTAAAAATTGACAAATGGGATTACACTAAGCTGAGAAGCTTCTGCACTGCAATAGAAACATTCAGCAAAAGTGAAGAGGCAACCAACAGAATGGGAGAAAATATTTGCAAACTATGCAACCAATAAATGATTAATATCCAGAATCTATAAAGAGCTCATGAAACTCAACAACAAAGTAAACAATCCAGTTAAGAAATACACAAAGGACTTAAAAAGGCAATTTTCACAAGAAGAAATGCAAATGGCCATCAATCAGATACATGAAAAAAAGCTCAGGATCAATAGCCATTAGAGAAATGAAAATCAAAACTACAATGAGATTTTACTTCAACCCAGTTAGAATGGCTCTCATAAACAAATCAACAAGCAATGAATGCTGGCGAGCATGTGGGGAAAAAAGTACCCTAGTTCACTGTTGGTAAGAATGTAAACTAGTACAGACGTTGTGGAAGACAGCACTGGAGGTACCTCAGAAAGCTTAAAATAGATATATCACATAACCCAGCAATCCCACTCCTGGGATTTTACCCAAGGAAAATGAAATAAGCACATGAAAGAGTGATATGTACCCCCATGTTTAGTGCAGCTCAATTCACAATAGCGAAGATATGGAATCAACCCAGATGTCCATCAACTGATAAGTGGCTAAAGAAATTGTGAGATTTACTAGATAGTATGGAATACTACTCAGCAGTACAAAACAATGAAATCCTGTCTTTTGTACAAAAATAGTTACAATTGGAAACCATAATACTTAGTGAAATAATCCAATCCCCAAAAGACAAATACCATATATTTTCCTTGATCTGTGGTAACTAGCAGAGTACAAAAAATGTCATGTATAGGAGTGAAGATGACATTTTGAGATTTGATGATTGTTTACAGCCCTTGTGTCTACTGTTGAGGAAAGCTGCTTTTTTCTTTTGACTTCTATTTGTTGAACTCCTTACTTAGTGTAAGGTTAATCCCATGAGTATAAAGTAAACTGAAAGTTGATCATTATAAAAATTAAGACAGGGAATAAGAGAGGAAGGAGGAAGAAGGGTGGGTTCATGGGCGGAAGAGAGGTTACGTAAGTGGTATCACTATGTCCCTGAATCTGTATATATGAATTACATGAAGTTTATCTTAAATTAAAAAAAATAAATTAACTAATAAGCCTACAGGTATTTTATATATCCAGTTATACATTTAGAAATATTTTCTATTTATACCTAATGTTTTTAAAAACAATGTAATTAATGATATATTTCATATTTCCTATATTTCATATTTCCTTTTTGAGGTCTCAAAATGTTCATTAAAAATGTGTTCTAAATAAGAATTTACAACTTTTTAGTAGTTTCTGTGTGATATAAGAAAAACAACTTCAAACATTTTTAATATTTTCTTACCTAATTTCACAAGGCTAGCAAAATACATATGGATTAGCTTTTAAACTAAATAAAATGAACTGTAACTTAAATGGCAACTTATCTTAGAAGAGAGGGCTTAATAGAGAAAAAGGGGGTCTGTTTAGAAGCACATATATTCTCCATGTACCTCAGAAACAAGCAGCTCACTAGGCTCTGAATGGTCAAAAAAAGATGATCACTGGCAATGGACGTTAAGACTAGGAGTTAAGATAATAATTAAGACACCTGCAGCCTCTATCAGAATCTGTGGCTTGACTCCCAGCTCCAGCTCTTGATTCTAGCTTCCTGTCAATGCAGACCTTGGACAATAGTGGTGATAGCTCAAAGTGACTAAGTCACTTCCACCCAATGGGAAACCTGGATAAGCTCCCAGCTCCCAGGTTGTGCCCAGCCCAGTCCTGGCCTAGCATTAGAAGTATCGATCAGTGGTTAGGGGGTCTCTCTTGCCTGTCTGACTCTGTCATTCCCGCCCCACCCCCCCCACAAAAAAAAAAAAAGAGAGAGAAAGTTGGTGATTATAATAAAACCCATGAGAAATGGGGCAGAATTCCTTTGACAGACCTTTAGAACAGCAATTTGGAATAGTAAGTGAAAACATTTTAAAACCTTGCACAAATATTCTTAGGCTGAATTTCTCACTGAAAAGTACAACTAATGCTAAGACCGACCTCTCACATAGGGATGTGATTTCAGAGATAATCAAAGATATTTTCTCTGTCTCCCTAACCTAGAATCTACAGTTCCGACATGACACGAATTCCCAAATCATATAGACATTCTTAATCACTCAGGGCACTTTTGATAAATAAGATTGTACTTGGAATGAATTATTTACTATTTATATATAAGATAAATAGGTCAATTTATTTCTAAAAATGTTAAAGAATGGTGACCATTGATGAGAAGAAAGACAGGGAAGAGACAGCAAGTAACTCTACAGTACAAAAACTGGACCACAGATATTTAATGACATTTAATTCTTTGGGAACGATTCACACAGCAAGAATGCCTTATGTCAGGAATGCAATTGTCCTAAACAAAGCCTATTTTAAAATTGTGTTTAAAACTGCCTTTGGGTATAGTCAACAACAACAACAAAAAAAAAAAAAAAAAAAGGAAAAGAAAGAGATAAAATTTTAAGCACATTTTAAAATAAGCAATAAAGAGAGAATATGTTAACAGTTGTTACTGTATGGGAAAGAGTCTGTTTTATACTTCTTATTTTTCTTTGAAATGTACTTCTGGCAAAATATAAAACCCGGATGTTGATAACCACAATGTATTCTGATATGTAATTGCTCTTCTAAATAAGCAATGATCTGAATACTTCGGGTGATTATTCATAGCTATTGTACTTCGTACTATTTTCTTACTTCTCTGACATGGAAAGCTTGTCAGTTTGTTGCTTGTAGTTGCTGGTTATTTCATTTCTTACTCTCTGAACAAGTTCCTCACCAATGGCAAATTCTAGTGCTCTATGTATCACATTCAGCCACCAAGGAGAATTAGAACGAATCTGTAAAAAGGCAACAGTTGATCAATTAATATTTGTTTTAGTACTCATTATGTTTCCATCATTTTAGGAATCTTTGCTACTGATTTCATAAAAAAGAAATTTTGTTAAATGAAAAATGGCACGTACTCCATAAGAAAAATATTTATGGTTCTAATATTCTAATATGGTAAAACAAAGTATTTTGGAAAATCAAAAGCAGGTAACCGAAGTCTTTATGTTCTTCAAAAGGCAACTTGTTACACAGCCAAAGTAAGAAACTCCTCATAGTTTAAATGAAATAAAAGAGAACCTCAAAATAGTTCATGTATCTTTGCATTTGTCCATTCCACTAATAAATATTGCTGGTAATAAATAAACTTGTACTGTGACACTGTATTAGGTACTAAGTATTCCAAGATGAATGAGAAATTTAAAGCTTCTCCACAAACAAACAAACAAACAAAAAGGTGTTATCTGGATACAAACACAAGTAAGAAACACTGCATTTTGGGTACGAACCTTTCTTTGGAGCTCACGTATGGTCTGTTGCACAGGTTGTAAAGCTTGCTGGGCTTCGGCGACTTCTGTGTTGCATTTACTCATATAGTGTTCTCGCAGCTGTTTGGCCTGTGTTAAAACAGAAAACCAGTGTAATTTTACTCTAAATCTAGAAAATAATTTAGTACTATGTTTCAAGAACAAAACTGGGGAGATGTCAGTCAAAGATACAATCATTTCAGTTAGATAGGAGGAATAAATGCCAGAGATCTATTTACAACATGATGATTATTGCTTATAACAATATATTGTACAGTTGAAAATTGTTAAGAGTATATTTGCAATGATCTGACCATAAAACATTTCAAGTTTGTGATGTAAAACATGTTAATTAGCTTCACAATTCCACAATTTCAATGTATATCAAAACATCATGTATACTGTAAATATATGCAATTTTTATTTGCAGACTAAATGGTTTACAAAAAAAGTAATAACCACTGTAATCAAAGAACCATATGTACTTAAACAACTTTATAAATGTACTTTACCTAGTTGATATAAATAAAGACTCCAATTATAAATTCAATATATTCAACACTCTTTTTTAGCTTTGCTCTTTTTCTTTGATCTTTGAAAGGTAAAATTTTCTGCAGAATAGCATAATAAGCTATTAACAAGTAAGTAACTTTTTATCAGTCTTCTCAATGAGAGGCAAGATTTATTGAACAGAGAACTTCTTTGAGTTTATGTTTTGCTTTACATAAGACACAGCAAGGTAAAGAAAAAAATCTGTTTGCTTATTTGCCAACATTATCATATAATTGCAAGCAGGTCACCAGAAAAGCAAATATGTAGTATTGCCATTCTCTATATCCAAAAGCATCTCAAGCAAAATTTGGTATGTCAAAGCAACAGGAAAAGATGTTCACATTTACTTAAGTGTTGAATGGCTAAGAAAAATCAACTAAATGGATCATAAAATTTGAAGAAACACATTTTCTTTCACGTGAGAGTGAAAACCTATTACCTCTTCCTCAAGTCTGCCATCTCGCAAGGTAGGAGGTATCCCTGGGTGCTTGGCTATCAACAATTCCATCAAGTTATGGGTAGCATGAAGTCTCTACAAACACATAAAAGGCAATAATTTGACAGTCAATAAAGTGAGCTTTAAATAAAATCTACTTTTATAATATGGCAATCAGGACTAATACTACATAAAGATCATCACCAAATACTTTTGCTTTAAAATAATTTATCAACACTTTCAGAAAAAATGATGTTAATTATAGCAAAGAACTTAAAGCAAAATGATATGAATTTTCTACAATTAAAAATATGAAGTCTGGGTCTGGCACTGTGGCAGCTGTGTTAAGCTGCAGTCTGCAGTGCCTGCATCCCATGTGGGTGCCAGTTCGAATCCTGACTGCTCCCTTCCAATTCAGCTCCCTGCTAATGCCCTGAGAAAGCAGCAGAAGATGGCCCAACTGCTTGGGCTCCTGCACCCATATGGGAGACCTGGAAGAAGCTCCTGGCTCATGGCTTCAGTCTGCCCTGTTGCGGCTATCTGGGGAGTGAATCAGAGGATGGAAGCTCTTTGTCTCTGTAACTCTGCCTTTCAAATAATAAATAAATACATATAAACAAATGAAGTCCTTTTTTTTTTTAATTTGACAGGCAGAGTTAGACAGTGAGAGAGACAGACAGAGAGAAAGGTCTTCTTTCTGTTGATTCACCCCCCAAATGGCCGCTACGGCCGGCGCGCTGGGCCAATCTGAAGCCAGGAGCCAGGTGCTTCCTCCTGGTCTCCCATGTGGATGCAGGGACCAAGCACTTGGGCCATCCTCCACTGTCTTCCCGGGTCACAGCAGAGAGCTGGACTGGAAGAGGAGCAACTGGGACTAGAACCTGGCGCCCATATGGGATGCCAGCGCCACAGGCAGAGGATTAACCAATGAGCCACGACGCCGGCCCCCCACAAATGAAATCTTATGAAGTATGGTTAACATTTAGCAGAATATGTAAAATAGACATATTTCTTCTACTATATGTACTTTTGTCTATGTTTGAGAAAGCCAAATAAATAAAATAAAGGCTGACTGCACTGAACTTGATTCCTTTTCTACTGAGAATGAGCCTTACAATTACATTATGATAAAAGTAAGAACAATGAAATAAGAAAGAACAGGGCCAGCACTGTGGCGCAGCGGGTTAAAGCGCCGGCCTGAAGTGCTGGCATCTCATACAGGCATCGGTTCTAGTTCTGGCTGCTCCTCTTCCAATCCAGCTCTCTGCTATGGCCTGGGATAGCAGCAGAAGATGGCTCAAGTCCTTGAGCCCCTGCACCTGCATGGGAAACCTGGAAGAAGCTGCTGGATCCTGGCTTTGGTTCGGCACAACTCCGGCCATTGCGGCAATCTGGGGAGTGAACCAGCAGATGGAAGACCTCTCTCTCTGTCTCTACCTCTCTCTGTAACTCTGCCTTTCAAATAAATAAAATAAATCTTTTTTCGTTTAAAAGAAAACAGGGTTGTGACATAGATATGTTGAACTTAACTGCTAAATAGGAGAGGAACTATAGGAGAAATGGGTAGAAGGAAGAAAATTATACTTTATATCTCTCTATTAGATATAATACACTTCTCACTCTGTTAGTGAATCTGCAGCTCATTACAGGATCCCTCTGGAGTCAACAACTATGAGAATCAAGTCAAAGTAGTTTCTATCTGTTAACATTTTACTTGGGAAGATAGATAACAGCTAAAAGATGATTGGAAGCATCCTTCTGGTAGGATCTAGCTTGGTGCCAGTGATTTAAGACTTTAAAGGTTCATTCTGCTTGACTACAGACTACAGACCATACTAAATATCACGGTACAGTCAATCTTGGAAGAGTTACTTCAGGGGCCAGCACTGTAGTGCAGCAGGTTAACGCCCTGGTCAGAAGTGCCAGCATCCCATATGGGTACAGGTTCGAGTCCCAGCTGCTCCACCCGATCCAGCTCTCTGCTATGCCCAGAAAAGCAGTAGAAGATGGCCCAAGTCCTTGGGCCCCTGCACCTGCGTGGGAGACCTAGAGGAGGCTCCCAGCTCTTGACTTCAGATCGGCGCAGCTCTGGCCATTGTGGCCAACTAGGGAGTGAACCAGAAGATGGAAGACTTCTCTCTCTCTCTGCCTTTCCTCTCTCTATGTAATTCTGACTTTCAAATAAATAATAAATAAATCTTTAAAAAAATTTACTTCAAATGTGGTAGGTGTTTTCAACATGGATTCATAGATAATAAAACCAGTGACATTATCGGATTTAATGGCAAAAAGAAAAGTACACAATATTAGAGAAACTTGAAATGGCAGGAAGTTGTCCTATCTTTTCTGTCTGTGCTTGTGCAAGAGGACTTCTGCTATTGGTGGTGAAGCGGGAATACTTAACATTCTATTTCTACCACTTCACACATTTTATCCCAAAGAAATAGAATGGCTAATCTAACTGGACGGAGTAAGACATTCAAGAAGCCAAGCTCTTTTAGTGAGTGGCATTACTGTGACTAAAAAGCAAGAACCCTCTCCCTCTCCCTCTCTTCTGCTCTCTCTGTAACTCTTTCAAATAAACAAATCTTTTTTTGAAGGATGGTTCAGGGACTGTCTTCACTCTTATTCCTAAGAATGTAAGTAGTCTTGTACTTAATTTTCTGCTCCTGCTACTCCCTCATCCATTCCTCCTAATATCCCACTCTGGCACATGTGAGTGTATAATTCTCAAGGTCTATATTCTGAGCAGTAAACAAGTGATATCACCTGAGACTCAAGCCTATGTCAAGGGTATTCAAAATGATCTTTACTTCCTATTTAGCTGGAGAGTCGTGTCTATGGAAACATCTGGAAAGAACCATAAAGGAAAGGAGAAACAAGTGTTATAATTCAAATATCCAAGTTTCCCTGAACAGACCCCTAAAAATTAAATTAGAAGACCACTGTATAGGCTTTATTATAATTTAGTTCCATGGCTGAATTTAACTATTTTTCTTTCTTTTTGGTGAAAATCTTGTGAACAAATAGGCCAATGTTCACATGCAAAAGTGTTAAAAACTTATCTACTCTTTGAAATACAAATAATTTGAACTATTTTTCAAACACAGATTACAGATTATTCTTGTCAGACTTGTGGCCAAAACTGGCCTGAGTAGACGCAATACTAGAGAGTGATTCTCACGCTTTAGAGTGTATGTGTACAGCTCACCTTGAGTGCTTATTATAAGACTGAATCCTAAGCTTCCTTCCCAGTGATTATGACCCCAGTCTGTTACCTTTTGTCACCTAAAATATTTAGCAAAATTATTTTGTAAAAAAAATACAAATGAATATTTGTATATACTTGAAAGTGTTTAGCTTTTACTCACTTGAAGGGAATCAGTTTTGAGTCTTCCTTTGTGCTCCTCAGATGAGCGCAACACTTCTCTGTACAGTTCTGCTGCCAAGGCATATTCACCTAGGAAATTCAAAGGTAATTAAAGCATAAAAAGTCATGAATTTTGCCCCCAGTGTCACATATTTACTGCCTTTACACATCTAATACAACTAATAGAGAAAGAGAGTGAGAGAGAGATATCTTCCATCTGCTGCTTCATTCCCTAGAGCCACAACAACCAGGAGCTTCATCAGGGTCTCTAATGTGGGTAAAGGGGCCCAAACACGTGGGACATCTGCTGCCGCTTTCCCACAGCATTAGCAGGAAGCTTAATCAAAAGTGGAGCAGCCAGGACACAAACCAGTAATCATTTGGAATGCCAGTGTCACAGGCAGCAGCTTTACCCACTACACTACAACACCAGCCCCATAACTATTATTTTTTAAAGGGATTTGACTTCAGTACTAATATTTTTAAAAAGACTTATTTTTATTTGAAAGGCAGAGCAATAGAGAGGGAATGACAGAGAGAGGGATATCTTCCATCTACTGGTGCTCTATCCAAATGGCCATAACAGCCAGGACTGGTTCATACAGAAGCCAGGAGCCAGGAGCTTCATCCCAGTCCCCTACATAGGTGGCAGGGGCCCAAGCACTTGGTCCATCATCCATTGCCTTCTCATGAACTTTAGCAGGAAGTTAGATTAGAAGCAGAAGCAGAACAGTCAAGACTCTAACTCGCACTCTGATATGGATGCCGAAGCAGCAGCTTAACCAGCTTTGCCACAGTCCTAGCCCCCTTTGTATTATAGTTGCTTTTTAAATTCTACAGCATGTGATGTCTTTGTAATATATTTACATCTTAAAATTATACTTAATATTAATTATGACACAGATACTAACTAATATAAGATATAAATAGAGGAAATATGGTAAGGGATATATGGTGATTCTTTGGATTACTACCTCACAATTTTTATTTTGTAAACTTACAACTATCCTGAAATAAAACGTTAAAAGTAAATTTGTGATTAAACAAAAACTCCTCTGGAGGTCTTAAAATTATACTGAAATATATTTTGAAATCTATTTACAATCAAATATATTTATAATGTTTTAAAATGACACTGAAAAATTCTGGATTAACTTGTAATTTAAACAAATACTTTTCTGCTTATTGAATTTAAAGGGTGCTAATTAGTAGTCATGATGTTTGCTGTTAACGGTAACTTTAGGTTAATTATAAGCATTTATAAATATTCAAAACTCTGTGATTAGCCTATACACAATTCTTATAAAAATAATATATTATTTTGTTCTTGCAATTAGATAAAAATAATGTATAATTAAACACTCTATTTCAAAAACTTGGGGATCTTCTTTCCATTTCAGGCCAAACAAATCAGAGTCCACCGGAGATGCATCCTGTTATTTACAGTTCATAACTAGAAGTTCATTATCAATTAAAGCATAAGTTTGTAAAATACGGCCTATGAGTCATATCTGTTTTGTGACAAGTGAAATTAAATTTCAGGACCCATGAATAACGTTTCATTGGAACTCAGTGAGGTTCATTTGTTTAGGTAGTATCTGTGCTGCTTTTACACTACAATAGCAGAAGAAGTAGCCTTGCTGAGACCCTATAACTCACAATACCTAATATATTTCCTCTCTGGTTCTTGAGAGGAAACAGAGTGATGATACCTAAATGAAAGGAGATGAAATATTTTTATTGGTTAGAATTATGGAATCAATCTTATTAACTGCTTGTAGGAAATTAAAAATTCACCCATACAATTAAAATAAAAATCTCACTGGCAAATAATAAAATAGGAGAAAAATTGTAGATACATTCAAGTTTCTACTGCTGAGAATTTTTTTTTCACAATCGTCACATTCATTTGCCTTTTTAAAAACTTCAAACTAATTTCACTGATATATATTTAATGACATATACACAGAGATATACATCTCTTTGTAAATTTTGTAGAAGCCCTCTCTCTTTTTTTGTTAAATATATACATATAAAAAGCTGCATGAAAATATAGTTAACAAATTTCATCACTTCAAACATTTTTAAATGTCTAGTTCAGTGGCATTTTACAGTTCACCGTTATTCAAAATGCTTTTTATATTTTTAAAAATATTCAGTTCTACCAGTTATTTAATGCAAAGCTTTCTAAAATATATACCTTCACAATACTTCAGAAATCAAACAACTCCACTCACTCCACTCACTCTGATGAGGGAGATTATTTTCACAATAATAAAATGTCATACTAACGTAGGAATAGTACTTAATTATAGTTATACACTGAAGTTTTTTTTTTAGTTTTAAGATTCTTAAACCTTTTCAAAAGACACACAGATTCCATTAGTAATGACTGTCACTTTTAGAAAATAATTCTTTTAACAATTCTCCCTTCAAAATTACACCTTTTAATGGAGGTATAGTGTCTAGCCTGTAACAGAAGCAGCTGTACTTGCTTCACCTTAGTATTTGTTTTTACATTTATTAAAATGACATGCTTTCTTAGAAGACACAAAAGTACACATATTCAATAGATTTAATAAGTTTAAGCCAAATTTTGAAATTCCCTTTCTTGGCCACTTGATGGCACTAACATTTCCAAATAAACATAATTTATTAGATTTGATATTGTCAACCTCATTTTTTTCCAGAGCATAAATATAAAAAAAAAAAACAGTTCAGATCTGGAATAATACTATATGTTTAATAGCATAGTCAGTGAGGATGTTAACATATGCATTATATATTAAATATATACATTTATATATACTATGAGGTCACATCATAAAGTCCATGAAAAAACAGAATTAAAAGATAAGCTTATTTTGATACAAATATTTTTTGAAACCCATTAAGAATATTTCATAATATGTATTTTTCAAGGACTTTTTTTCATATTGCATGGACTTCCAAAAATTTTTTGTACCAAAATAAGCTTATCTTTTAATTCCATTTTCCAAGAACCCTCAAATAAGCGAATCCCTATAGAGGATGAAATTAGGTTCCTTTTAAAAGTCAGACCTTGCAGTGCCGGCACACCAGGTTCTAGTCCCGGTCGGGGCGCCGGTTTCTGTCCCGGTTGCCCCTCTTCCAGGACAGCTCTCTGCTGCGGCCAGGGAGTGCAGTGGAGGATGGCCCAAGTACTTGGGTCCTCCACCCCATGGGAGACCAGGATAAGTACCTGGCTCCTGCCATCGGATCAGCGCGGTGCGCTGGCCGCAGCGCGCCAGCTGCGGCGGCCATTGGAGGGTGGACCAACAGCAAAGGAAGACCTTTCTCTCTGTCTCTCTCTCTCACTGTCCACTCTGCCTGTCAAGAAAAAAAAAAAATAAGTCAGACCTTCACTGGTTGAGCTCTCCATCAGCTCTACATAAAAGGAATCTCTCAGGAGTGGGGAAAATTTTTATGCCAAGAGCCATTTGATATTAATAACATCGTTTGTTTGCCATACAAAATTATGAACTTAAAAAACTAGCCTGCTATAAATTTACTGCATTTTGAGTCTCACCTGAGGTTGTTTTGGCAGGGCCAAACCAAATGATTTCGTAGGCCTTATATGGCCTGTGGGCCAGATATTCCTCACCCTATGCAAGTTAAATACTTCATGTTACTTTTAAAAATGGATGATGTTTCACCTACCATAGAATCAGTGGAAACTAAAAGTAGCAAACCTATAATTAAGTTTATAATTATAAATACAGAATAGACATATCATTTATAAAAGATAGTCTGGTATGAATTTCTCTTAATAATCAGCAATAGTTTGCTATAGTTCTACTCACAGAAAGACAAGGCACTACAGTATAAATGCAGGGGAAACCATCTGAAAAGACCAGTGAGATAGCTTCTGTTACACAACAATATGCTATTTTGCCAAGCAAGAGCAGTGATCTGGCTGCAGTGCAACGGTGTTTGGAAATGATCAGATGAGCAACACTTTTTTCCAATCCTCATAACATAGATAGCTTCATACAGGGAAAGGCAAAAAGAAATCTGAAAGGCCAGGGGGAGAAATCCATTCACTGTGTAAGCCTTTGCGTCATAAGAGCAGAATAAAATGAAGAAGGCAATTGTAAAACCTAGATAGGAAAGCTGAAATTTATTTTTATTACAGTGGTAATCTACAAATACTGTACTACTCCATTTTACACATTTTTAACTGTATGGGCCTACTATTGATATTGTAATATTGAGGTTTATAAATATAGATGGCAATTTGGTGAAGAAGCAGATACAGCATAATAAAAAGTACTATATGTTTAATTTGAAATCAAAAGATCCAGGGCATATTCAGTCACTTACTAGACATAATTTTGGGAAAGCCTTTCTAAACACAGTTTCCTTAGGGAAAATGGATATAACATCTAAATCAAGCAATTATGAGGATAAAATAGTATATTTGCATGAAAGTGTTAAATATAATGCAAAATGCTTATAGAAAAAAATTCTCAGATATAACGCAAGGTTTTAATGATCTGAATATAAATAGTACATTCATCATTCATGTAATTTCTAAGACAGGCATATGTATTTCCTTTTTTTTTTTTTTTGATAGGCAGAGTTAGACAGTGAGAGAGACAGAGAGAAAGGTCTTCCTTCCGTTGGTTCACCCCCTAAATGGCTGCTACGGCCGGTGCGCTGCGCCGATCTGAAGCCAGGAGCCAGGTACTTCCTCCTGGTCTCCCATGCAGGTGTAGGGCCCAAGCACTTGGGCCATCCTCCACTGCCTTCCCGGGTCACAGCAGAGAGCTGGACTGGAAGAGGGGCAACCGGGACAGAACCTGGAGTGCCGGCACCGCAGGTGGAGGATTAGCCTAGTGAGCCACAGCGTTGACAGAGCATACATATTTCTAATCTGTGATAATCAAGTAGTCTACAGATTTTAATCACAATTATTTCATTCAATTAACCTGGCACTGAGAAAAGCTGGTTTTAGACATTTTATATTTGATATTGTCCCCAAAGTTTAATTTTTTAAAAAAATTCTCTATTAATTATTTGCCTTGTTTAGTCTTTTTCTCTACTGACTGTAAAGCACACATACTTTTATA